GCAGAATGATAATTTGTTAATATTATTAAAGTAAAGTACAGCTTTGGTAGCGAATTTTAACGTTTAAAGTACACCGGATATCTGTAGCTGCCAGCCGCGGCTTCTAGAAGCGGCTCCGAATGATTTCGATACTGTAAAATACATGAAATTACTGTAAAAACAGTGAATTTTTTTCACTTTCACATTCCTTCCCGACTCGTATTCCTTCCCGACTCGTAACTCTCAATTGCAAAAAATCGCCATTACCAAATTTTGTTATCTTGTAGAGGAAAAAATTCTACACAAAATATTTCTTTTTTGAAAAATTTAAAGACACGTTTGTTACCTATGCTTGTTTAAAATTTTGTTTTCATTGTATCTTTGTACACTTTTATCAGAATTAAGTTGTTTTTATTTTTTAAAAGTCCAGAACATTAAAAATACGGCGGATCAAAAATCGTTTCGTTAAGAACGCGCCGAATTACAAGTCTCCAAAGATAGGCATGTCAAGCGGCTGTCTGGCAAATTTTGCAACTTTGAGGAGGTGTAACTTTTTGGGGAACTCACTTTTTCAGGTTTTTTTTGTGGCTCTCTTTATGCTGGCCTAGACTCTACTAATCAGCAAAAAATGAAAAAAATCTGAGAGGGTGATGTTCAAAGGTGTGCGATTTGGCAAGGAATGGCCTATACTTATAGCCGTGTCTTATCAGTTATCGCCAAATAAGTCTGCACTGCACGATCCAAAATGAACCGCAAAGTAGATAAGAAGCATTGAGCAGAAGTCAACAGATGACAAAAAAAAGCTTATAAATTACCAACTTTTCAGCAACTGAATTGGCTTAGACTCAAACAACTGTAATTAAAATCTACGTTTTAAGAAATTTCAAGTGTCACTTTAACTAACTTCACAAGTAACTGAGAAAATCTTAGATCAGAAGAAAAACTGAGACTGGAAGTAGTCTGAAACAGAACTTGTGAACTGAAGTGTCATTTGCAGAACAGTGGTTTAGAATCTATTAAAAAGAAAAGATAAGTGATAAGCGTTTGTATGGTGAGCTTCTAGAATGAATAACTTGGGGCAGGTTGTTTAAAACACAGTACAGAAAAACCAGTTCGTTACTTGAAGTAAAATTTCCTGTTCCTACAGGAATTAAAGAAAAAGCGGTGCAAGGCATAATAAAATCAACAAAGGTTTATAGATGGTCAGCTGGCGTTACTGACTGAAGGGATTTTGTTGTACAGCAGAGGAAACAGAGGCAAACAACAATTTTAAGGGATTTAGAAAACGCAAAATAAAATATAAGTGTAAAAAAAATGAATTTCATAGCTTTAAAAATTTAGTCTTTGTTTATTATTATTTTTCATGACTGTGACATCTCCAATAATTCTAATTTTGTATACACCAATTATTCTGCATTTGTAAGGTATTTTTACAGTTGCGCAATTTCGAGAAATTTAGACATCTTCAACTCATTTCTTTTTCTTAAGTATTTGTTATGCAATCACCTCAACTTGGCCAGATGAAAGAACGCGAAATAACTGCTGGATTCTGATAAATGAGAATTTCACTCTGAAATTCCCGAGCTCCATACAGGAGCAACAAGCAAACTGTAACATTTCTTCTGCAACTGTAAAAACACTCATTTTTTTGCTGTCATATTGCCTCAAAAAACATGGCTTTTTACTTCATACTCAACTGTAGTTTTTTGTCACCATATGGTTCTTTTTAAAACTGCTCTGGTTTCACACTCAGAATCTTAAATAAAACTTTTATTGTCCATGAAGAAAAAAGCACTAAATATACAAAGTTTCATTACAAACTGACAAAACTCCCTAAATTTTTATGCTTCTATTCATTCTACATTTTTGTCCCACTAATGGGGATTCGCCGTTCATGCTGAATGGCTTTTTTTGGCGCAGTTATAACAAGAAGTCCTTCGTTGTTGAGAAATGACCGCAACCCTTCTAAATCTGTGTCTTCCGGCATTAAGTATTTCCTGATGAAATGCCTTTCTACTGTTCCACACTCATCATTCCGTTCTTCATGATGACCTTCAACCACCAAATTTCGATCTTTTAGATTTACAGAGAGCTCCTCCGGTGCAAACTGGGACACATTCATTTCGACTGCAAATTTCTCTTTGTTGTTTATCACCTGTAAAGGAAAGACTTATTTTTCATCACTTAAAGCATGTAACGAACTAAAAATACCTAACGGCAATCGTGTGTTTTCAAAAAATTTGTAATTTTAAAAAAATCCAATCGGAAGCTAATAAAGAGTAGATTACCTTTCCAACGGTGCTAGAGCTCTTGCGGCTATCTGTAAGAAGCTGTCGACCACTGCACGGTCTTGTTGTTAGCTGACCTGTTATGTCTCGTAACGTGTCGTCAAAAGTTTGGTAAAAGAACTGCTCTAACGGATCGTAATA